GGAATTTCCACACTATATAGAAATGACCTCGACATCTAACAATATGTAAATTTAAATATAAAATAACTCTGTTATAGAATTTGTAGAGTACAAATGCTTTACAGTGTATTTGCGAGCATTTTTTACCTAATTTTTTTTATCTAATTTCTTATTACAAACTAATTATACAATTGCGTTTATTTCAAAAATGAAATTATAAATCGTACCAATTTTCTGGCAATTAATACATATTAGATCCGGAATGTCCAAAATATTTTTCAGAATAGTTCAAATTTTGGCTCAATTTCAAATTTGAAATTTGAAATGTGGGACCCGCAGGTTTCATGTTTATAGAGCAAGTTCAGTAAGAAATGGGTACAATTGTAGAGGGGGATTTGTAACTTCTGATTAGGAGCAGGATCGAAAATCATAAAAAGTCACATTTTAAGATTTATTATTCAAGTTACTGAATTAATTAAATCCACCAGAAGTTTGTTATTTTATTTGCATCATTATTTACAAAATTTTAAAAAATGCTTACAAAAAAACTTTTGCTCAAGAATTAATGTGCATAAGCTGAATACAGTGTCAGAACGTGGCCACTGACAATTAGACCTCCCATACAACGAGGCTACCATATAGGTACCCACGGCATTCGACCAAATTCGACCCACGGCATTCGACCTCTTGTTTTGCAGATCATGTACCTGCATATTTTCAAGTGGTGCAAATTTGCTGAACTTTTCATGTTCGACGCCAAGTTGAAACATTATGAAAAATGTGACCGAAACCTTACGCCATTTAGTAATTAATTTTCCTAGCATAAAGTTGAGTAATAATTTTTCCGGTGTGTTTTAAAATATGGTGCAGCTGGATATTCATATAAAGGAATTTTTCTATCCTTATGTACATTGTGAAATATTTGTGTAAAATATTTATATCATCGTGAAAAATTCGTTGTTTTCCAAATTTTCAAATAATTGGCTACAAATGTACGAAAAATGGAGAACATTTCCAAAACCTGACTGAGAAAATCGTATATCTTGGCAACAATTTGTATTTTGTTTATAAGTTGATTAAGCTGGCAATGAATTTGAACTTATTTGATTTCTTCAATACAAAATAGAAATCTTATTTAAAACGATACATTGAACTAAGAAGAATTAATAATGTAATGTAAGTCTTTCACTTGCCCCCTTCACAAGTATCCTTGTCCGGAGGTAAATATGTCGTGGGTCCATTTGTCGTGGGGCCATATGTACATGGGTCCAAGTGTCGCTGGGTCTAAGTGTCGCTGGGTCTAAGTGTCGCTGGGTCTAAGTGTCGCTGGGTCTAAGTGTCGCTGGGTCAATGTGTCGCTGGGTCTAAGTGTCGCTGGGTCAATGTGTCGCTGGGTCTAAGTGTCGCTGGGTCAATGTGTCGCTGGGTCAATGTGTCGCTGGGTCTAAGTGTCGCTGGGTCAATGTGTCGCTGGGTCTAAGTGTCGCTGGGTCAATGTGTCGCTGGGTCAATGTGTCGCTGGGTCAATGTGTCGCTGGGTCAATGTGTCGCTGGGTCTAAGTGTCGCTGGGTCAATGTGTCGCTGGGTCAATGTGTCGCTGGGTCAATGTGTCGCTGGGTCTAAGTGTGCGGGTCAATGTGTCGCGGGTCTATCTGAACGGGTCAATCTGGCACCCATTCATTTTTTGCTGAACAATTTTTACAATTTCTGTATTCTCCCGTAATATTGTTTAACTATGTGAGTGATTTTAAACCGACAGAACGCGGCTCTTCTTAACGTAAGTATTTGTCAACTTAAATGAAAAAATATACCAGCGTTAATCAACCGACATATTTAATTTAACCATATTATAATACTTGGAAACACATTGTGTAAGCTAAAGCAACTTTCATCCATGATTGAAAAATAGGTTTGTAAATTGAAATGCTGCTTTTTTAGAAGGGGCCAATTTATCTGAAAATTTCGAAAGTTTTTTTAAAATTTTAAATATTCATAAACGATAATTAAATTATGGTTAAAATGATTTCCAAAACATTTCTTAACTTTTTACCATAAATATGCGTAATAGCATGCCGGAAACATTTGAAATCTAATTTAGTATTTGAACTATAAATATTCAGAAACGTATTAATTGACTTCAAAGGTTGGCAGTGCATATAAAACTTTTGCAACTGTAAATGCTCTTGAATAAGCAAAAGCAATGCATCCAGAAGCACACGAATTATGCATTGTCATCCCCCGAATTTATTGACTTTGATGTCGTTAAGTTGCACAGAGCAAGCAGTTACTGAGGTGCTTTATTCACACCTGAATGAGGAATTATTTACTCGGCATTTATTAAAGGATAAAGTTCCTTTATGAACGTTCCACACGGATGGGCATAAAAAGATGTCATTTTCGCCAAGATTTTCCTCATTCCACTCAAATTAATGTTTTCAAGGATTCCTTGGTTAATTGCGCTGTTTGGATTCGTGAAGAAAATTGATGCTCCAAAAACCCCAGCCCACAAAAACCCTAGCTTTAATAGATGTATAGATACATCTATTAATATTATCCGTGTAAAAATAAATTTATTTTTCATAATAGGTTGGTGAATCGTGTCACCGTGAATCGTGTCGTGAGTCATGAAAATTTCGTCTGCAAAACACGAAACGATTTTACAAAATAATATTAATATATTTAGCCTACAATCGAGCCTGAGGACAGGATCAAGATTTTTTATTATGAAAATTTTCAAAATACTCGCGTTACAAGAATGAGCATACGTTCTAAAACTCTTTTCAGCAAAAAATTGACCCACGTCAGCATTGAACAATTACTGTCAAGTTATAAAAATGCCAGACTTACAGGCCAAACTCCATTATAATGAAGAACCAATGAAGTTGAAATCTTCACATTTATTTAGGAAATATATACATATAGTATTGAACAAATATGGTTTTTGTACATGGTCGAGTTGTGAAGCCAGTGATGCAAAATATTGATGGTTGACGTATATAAATGCAAAACAGGTGCATTTAAGGAATTAATACGTGGCCAGTTGACTTTTTAAGCTTCCCCTGCCCAAAATAACTGCCTCTGTCTATTTACATACTTGCACGTATTTAGATTATAACAAAGGAAAAATATTCTGGCCAAATACAAAATACATCAGGTTTTTCTAACTGCATGGTTTTTTTAGTTTATATTCACACAGTTTACTCTTCCGTGATTTATCTGAATAAATATGTAAATACTTTTGAGATTTTTTAAAAATTCTCTGCGTTAGTTCATATTTATAAGAACCTTTTAAAAATCTTGTCTATTCAAGCTGAATATGTAATAATTCTACACAACATAGAATTGACGAATTTTTTTATTTCAATGAAACATTTAAAATCATGTTCAGCACAATCGAGTTAGTGGGTTTACTGCAAATTTTGGTCTAAAAAATTTCTTGTTGCGCGCAAATATTGGGATACACAGGGTTTACGTTTCCCTCCATTTTGGGAGAACCACTGAACCAAATTTGTCGAAATTAGGCTGAAGATAATCATAAACAATTGATCTCCTCCTGGCGCTTTTGCTGATTCGTGACCTGTGTCCTAAATTTTTAATTTGGGGGTAAATTGAGAACCGTTAATGCCTAAATGGGAGTTGTGGTTTCTCGTTCACCAAAAGCCATTTCCCGCGAAAATTTGCCATTAAACAGATTTTTCGCCGATTTTAACAAAAACTTGGAAAAATAGTAAACGATCTCATTTTGCAGGACGGACTTTTGAATGAGTTTTTTTTGACCTGACATGAATTAATCACATGTAAAATCTGTCATCATTACTGGCTAATAAGTAGGAATTTTTATCCTGGGAATGGAATAGTGGTAGTAAAAATCACAAAGTGAGTATTAGCAAAAAACCTGAAGAAGTATCACTATTCTCGAGATGAGAATGAATATACGCAAACTAGGTATATATACTCCTAATTTCTTTTAAAAGATTTAATAAACTTGTTTCAACTTTGACAACTTTAAAGTCAATAAATTAAGTTCAGGAATTAGTTTATGCAAAATAAAATCATTAGGTCACCATCTTGTGGGAGAATATGAGGCTATCAATACCGTAAACCGAGTAACATTCATACTCATATTGCGAGTTCCTGATCTGTTGGTGGGGAACTCCTGCAGCCAAAATCTCAAACCCATTTACTAAGGGCTGAATTCAAATCAAACTCCCACCAAGAGTTCTGGAATGCACAATAAGGGCAAATAAAGTTCAACAGGTTTCCTAAACTCTTCAAGGTTTAGGAAAATAGAGCCTCAAAAATATATTATGCATATGTAGTAAGTAGTGTTTTTTTTGTTAAAAAGCTCTTACAATAATCTTTGATAAGTTTATCGTCACAAATTGCGACGATTGCACACACAAATTCACAAATTGCCAAATGTGTGACGTTTCCTAAATGTGCGACGTAAATAGCTCCGCAATGTGTTGTTGGCAATTAAATTTGTACGTGTAACTTGCAATTCTTTTTTGAAGAATTTGGATTTAAATATCTAAGTCACAAGGTACAATATCCGGGAAGCGGTATTTTGCTCAGCGTTAGCGCGCTCTAGCGCCTGTTCGGGGACGGATTGGAACAAAAGTTTTATACAGATTTGTGACATACACATATGCATTGCTTGCAATATGCGTGGGATTATGTAAGGTTTTCAAGACAACGAAATGAATTGATAAATTTATCGCGAACTTACTCGAATTGTATAAAAAAAACTTTTCTTAGGAAAAATTAAAATTTCACATTTTGAGTATTGAAATTTTGAAATTTTGATGTTTCAAAGTTGAAATATTTCAAACTAGAATCTCTGCTTAAATTTACATTTGTTGTCATCGGATATTTCCTCACCTAAGAATTTTGTTACATAAATTGTTCCTAAAAATAAATTTTTTGGCATTGAAATTACAAAAAATGAAGACATTTCTATTTAATTGTGAACACAGATATGAGAATTGCACTTTTAGATGTTCCAAACCAGCCAAATGAAAGATTCTACGGAGACTCGAACTCAGATTGTTGGATTCAAAGTCCAAAGTGATAACCGGTTACACCATAGAATCAATTGTTGGAATATGGTCTCCTTGATCAAAATCGCATCGTAATCCAATTTTAAATTCATCTTTATCACCAAGCAATCGTACGCTTAGCTCGATCCCGTCTTCAGTCCTGCTCTACGAAGAGCCAAGTAATGAGTTTTCTATATCAACTCGTCCACTAAAACCAGGGTTACACAAGCTTAAAAAAAGTGTTGTCATTTAATTTTTCAGAAAGTTTAATTAAGGTGGAATTGAAATGTTTTAGATTTGTATTGAAGACAGGAAATTATAAAAAAATATTCACAGATTGAAGGACACTACACGAGATTAGTTGAGTATTTGGTATTTAGGGAATAATTTTTTTTAATCAGCGTTGCAAATCGATACGATATAGCAATCAAATTGAGTAAGAGGTTGCAAATTTGTCTGAATTTCATAAAAACAAATCAAATTTGAAGGAACTACTGATCAATTAATTTAGACAATGAAAAGTTTTTTATTACAAAATAATAATACGCATTTCTGAAATTCTGAATCCCTTCACGTAGACAAATTTTTAGTAGATTGGCAACTTTACGAAATGAATTGCAATGTTAGATAAGCCGTTGTGGTGAATATTCTGCTAGTGTTCGACGTCAATTTCAAAATTTTGTGGAACTTATTTAGTCCAATGGAAAAAACAGATTAACTGGATTTTTGTTGAGTCATGCAAAGCTTATTCGTATAACAAGTATTTGACACATACCTGTTCACTTTCATTTACAATGGCGATTATAAAAGTGAATGAGATCGCATAAAAATGTTAATGGTGACATGCGAATGACGGTCAATGAAAACTCATTCCAACTGTCTATATTTATGAGTAGTTTTACCACCCCACAAAGTACATTGGTTTCCCAGCTAAAAAAATATGGATAAACAAGACTTGAGACCAGGTTTTTCAAGTCCTAAACTTGAAAGTCAGACCAAGACCAAGTCCTAACTCAGCCAAATTTTTGGGGCCGGGACGAATTGAAAGTTTAAACCTTCCCCTGTAATACAGTCAATATCTCAATCATCCTGCTTGTGATGCCTTTCTGTCTGACATTGTGCAAAATTGCACAATGTGAGACAATTTATCAGACAACTACAATTTTGTAAATAAATTGAAATAATAAAAACAAAAATTTTCGAAAATGGTGTGTACTGCTTCCAATGAATTGAATTGCAAACGTTTGTAAATTTTCATTCCTATGTAAATAATGTTATATATATAGCTCGATTTACACAAGTTGGAAAATCAACAAAATGGTAATATGCCAGTTCAAAAATTTAAAATTCACTTTAGAAAAAAATTTCCTGATAAACAAATTCTTCGATACCTCCGGGTATGTCTCCGAGTTATTGGGCGAAGGATTTTCCAACGTTGATCTTAATTTAAATAGAATAGCCCTACACGAGACATTTTCCTTATAGTGGTTTAAAATCAGCGTCTCTGCTGTTAAAAAACAGCTGCACAAAATTAGTGCATAATAATGTTTTTATGCGTTTAATAACACCCACGAAAATACATAAAAGTGCACAAAAATGCACAAAAATAATTTTACTGCCCAGAACGAAATCTTATTAAGTACTTAATTTTTTAAATAAATATCAACCTGTTTTATTATAATTTCTCATCATTATCAATAGTCTCAATTTGACCTAAATATTATTTAAAACTCAATTAATATGAAAGAATTGGTAAAAATTTCGTTAATTCATAAGCAATCTTTGAACACAAGTTCAGCTGCAAATCGGATTTCATAATTGTTCAATAAGTGATATTTTGTTTATTTACCTGCAAATACATTTTTATGCATTTTTGTACATATTATGCACTATGCATGCGAAAAAAAAAATATTATGCGCACAAAAAGAAACACTGTTTAAAATATTGTATTTGCTCCTGAACTATATTTTGTTAATCCCCGTAGTTATATCACCTTTAACCCTACAACATCTGTCGTTATAACTTAACTAATTGAATGTTGTACAGTATACAATATGACCAGAGTAACACCGCTCAGCTAAACCTTTCATCTAAAACGTATAAAAGCCTATGTAAAATTTTGGTAGATGTCTTTAAGGAGTGCCACAATTTTTGCTAAGTTTGCATTCTGATTTATTTTGTAGAAATTGTCATATTTTAATAATTACTAACCGCCCTGGAACGGTGAAACCTCAATCGATCAGCACGTATCGACATATCGATGGAACTTCCAGAATTTGAGATTACGGCTTACTTGCTTGATCCTAAGGTCCTATTTTATCTCCAGTTTAGTTTGCCACTCATTAAATTTTCCGATTAGAATAGGCTATATCATTTGCTATCTGAATTTGCTATATATATATATGACCTATGTATATGACCTTTCCATCGCAGAAGTCGAAAGTGAACTTTCCCTGGTATATGATAAACAGTTGGGTTACCTACCAACAAAAAGGAAAGTAGAAATTCACAGAAAGACTTGCAAAAAGAAATACAGGTTAAATTTGCAATATATGGTAGGAATCGTTTCTATAGCTCAGTGGTAGAGCATCAGTCATGAAAACTGAAGAGGCGTGGGTTCGATTCCTCGCTAGATTCCAATTTTTATCCTATAATTGCAAAAATTGTATTTCAACTTTAAAAACGAATAGTCGAACAATTTAATTCATTTTATATATATATATATATTTGCTCCCACCGAGAGGCGGTTCTTCACAGAACCCAAACAAATTGATCAGATCAGAAGTAAATAAATCTAACTAACTGTAAGCATGGACAAATTCTGCATTAGACGATAATACCGATGCAACCTGGAATAAAAATGCATTTTAGAAATATTAATGTAATTCGATCAGGTGTTAAAATTGTCCAATTATTTGTTTGCGTTGAAAGTTCAACTACCCCTGTAGATCAGTTAAAATATTCAAATAAAAATTTATCACCACAAAAAACTACCCTAAATGTCTAAAATTTGTTGATTCTCGGGAACAACCGAAGATTAAAAATGCTCCAAAATGTTGGCCCCTTGTGAGGAATTTAATGACTAACAAAACTAAAACTTGAAATCTACGACACAGAACAATTTTGACATTAAAAAACTTAAAAATTTTGTAACACTGACGAACTTTTCGGAGTAAATTCATGCGCTGAATTTCTCCCTCTCTGACACAATGTCCAACAAAACCGAGCGATTGGATTCCTTGTGTTTGAGTGTAAAATGGTAGCTTTCTCTTCACGAGAAAGTGAAGTGTGCAACTGACGGCCAATTAGATATCTGATTTCACTTCGGATACGAACATTTTACTTTCACTTCAGTTGCACGTGGCGATTCAAATTTATATATAGATACTGGTAACATATGTACGAGAATTGATGCAAGCTTTTTTCATTTTGGGACTGAAACTGAATGAGAATTTTCATTCCTCTCATTTCTGTTCACTATAAATAGGCTTCATGAACAGGGCACAATACGATGAAGCAATTAATTAAATGACATGAGGATGATAGACACCATTAAAAGGAATCTATTCAAATCATGACTCCGAAATCTGGATTATTGATTTTGAAAAGAAATTTTTATTTCTTGAACACATACTGTTTCAATGATGGAAAAATTACGTCGGAAACAATTAAACTGCTCCACATTGACATTTTACAGTGGGCTAGATTTTTTTCTAGATTTTTTGAACTAGACGGAAATCGTCGGCAGAAGTTTGCACATGGGTTGACCAAATTTCGGCAGATAACGGCATTAATGGACCAATAGATAGTAAATTAATATTGATAAATAATCCATCAATTGTGTCAACAATCCTGAAAGTAGCCACTTCTGAATTTTACCAAATATAAATTTAACATTAATGTAACAAGGTTTCTTGTAATGCAATCTCTACTGGACGATATGCCATCATCGAAATATTAAATTTTAGGGGACGGTCTTGTCTACTTTTTGTATCAATAATTTTAGAGGCTGTCATACATATTTGTGCAATTAAAACAAGTTTCTGAGCAACTCGCACACAATTAATTCATTGTGCAATTCGCACACAATAAATGTTTTGGGAGCATCATTTGCACACGGTAAATAAGAATTATGTCTCTTGGGGGTAACCAAAATAATTCAATAGATCAGATGATTTCAATTTGAAAATAATAAATCTGCGCACAAGTTAAGTTTCATACATTTTTCCGAAAAATAATAGCCCTCATCTTAAAAATTCCATCGGGAATTTATAGTTAAGTTTATTTACGTGGTATAACCTGATAAAGTCTAATGCACTCTGTTCTGGTAAAGATTTGTTACGGAATGATATTAAATACCTTATTTCGGATTAGTTAACATTATATTACTAAACCATGATGATCATTATGACCAACTCGTTAAAGTCAGATCGTCCGTTAAATAATGTTAGCGTTCAACCTAAATTACTTCATAACTTTAAAATTATATACGATTTCATGTGGATTTATTATTTGTGCTTATTGTTTTAACGTGCAATTGTTAGATGCGAAATAGTGATTTGTTTAATTGTCTCCATATAACAGATTTCGTCCTTGTGTCCATAATGACACTATACATGTTCAAAAACAAAAATTTCATTAAATGTCATATCATTTTGATTTCTGAATGACGATTCTCAGTCATTTTCATTCATTTTCTATCAAAATCATTTCATTTCATATCATTCCGTATCATTCTTATGGTGCCCCATGTATTCAGTATATGGTGATAGGAAATGAAAGGAATGACAATTATCATTCACGCTCATAGTTGTGAAATGATGGAGTTTTTCATTCGCAGTCATTCACATTTCACCTATATCATTTTCATTCACTATCATTAAGTGTGATAACAGCTCTTATGAATGACATTGAACAGGTATGAAATTTCAGAAGTATCCTTCCTCCCGTTAATTTTTAAATCGTCAACAAAATACATAGAATTAAAAGTAGTAAATGATTTTTGTAGGATAATTTTTGCATTTCTTAAAGGTCGATGTTATTAAGTGAGCAA